AAAATGAAATTTTCCGGAAGGTCCGGACCTGTCGTTCCGACACTTTTGGCGAACAAGCCAAAAAAGCATATTTCGTAAAGGTCGGACATGGTGTGTCATTTTGGCCGTGCACTAAAAATAAAATTTTCATGGAGTCCGGACCGGTCGTTCCAGCACTTTTAGCGAACCGGCCAAAAAGCATTTTTCGTAAGGTCCGGACATGAATTTTTTGTCATTTTGTAGCGGCGCAAAAAATGAAATTTTCGTAGGTCCGGACCGCAACCGTTTCCGGCACTTTGGCGGGCCAAAAAAGCATTTTTCGTAAAGGTCAGGACATGAATTTTTGTCATTTTGAACAGGCAAAAAATGAAATTTTCATAAGATCCCGGACCTATCGTTTCGGCACTTTTGGCAAACCGGCAAAAAGCATTTTCTTAAGGTCAGACGCGAATTTTTGTCATTTTGTCGACCCGCAAAAATGAAATTTTCATAAGGTCGGACCTGTCGTTCCGGCTTTTGGCGAACCGGCCAAAAAGCATTTTTCGTAAGGTCGGACATGAATTTTGTCATTTTTGGCGAACCGGCAAAAATGAAATTTTCGTCAGGTCCGGACCATCGTTCCGGCACTTTGGCGAGCCAAAAAAACATTTTTATTGGGTCCTGACATGAATTTTTGTCATTTTGGCAAACCACCTTAAAAAACAGAAATTTTCGTAAGGTCGGACCTGTCGTTCCGCCACTTTTTGGCAAACCGGCCAAAAAGCATTTTTCGTAAGGTCCGGACATGAATTTTTGTCATTTTGTCGACCAACAAAAATGAAATTTTCGTAAAGTCGGACCTGTCGTTCCGGCACTTTTGGCGAACCGGCCAAAAAGCATTTTAAGTAGATCCGGACATGAATTTTTAGCCATTTTTAGCAAACACGCAAAAACAGGGGTACCGTAAGGTCCGGACCTGTCGTTCCGCCACTGGCAAATCCGGCCAAAAAGCATTTTTCGTAAGGTCCGGACATGAATTTTGTCATTTTTGGCGACCCGCAAAAATGAAAATTTTCGTCAGGTCCGGACCTGTCGTTCAGCACTTTTGGCGAACCGGCCAAAAAGCATTTTTCGTAAGGTCGGGACATGATTTTTGTCATTTCTGGCGAACAGGCAAAAATTAAATTTTCATTAGGTCCCGGACCTGTCGTTTCAGCACTTTAATAAAACCGGCCAAAAAGCATTTTCGTAAGGTCCGGACATGAATTTTGTCATTTTGGCAAACACGCCAAAAATAAAATTTTTCGTAAGGTCCGGACCCGGTCGTTCCGGCACTGGCGAACCGGCCAAAAAGCATTTTCGTAAGGTCGGACATGAATTTTTTGTCATTTTGGCAAACAACGCGCAAAAATAGAAATTTTCGTAAGGTCCGGACCTGTCGTTCGGCACTTTGGCGAACCGGTAAAAAGCATTTTTTCGTAAGGTCGGACACTTGAATTTTTTGTCATTTTTGTACGACCCGCAAAATGAAATTTTCGTAAGGTCGGACCTGTCGTTCCGGCGCACAGCGAACCGGCCAAAAAGCATTTTCGTAAGTCGGGACATAGTTTTTGTCATTTTGGCGAACAGGCAAAAATGAAATTTTCATAAGGTCCGGACCTCGTTCAGCTTGCCGCGGCAAACCGGTAAAAGCATTTTCTTAAGGTCAGACATGAATTTTTGTCATTTTGTCGACCCGCCAAAAATGAAATTTTCGTAGGTCCGATTTCATCGTTCGCTTGCTGGCGACCGGCCAAAAAGCATTTTTCAGGTCGGACATAGATTTTTGTCATTTGGCGAACCCGGCAAAAATGAAATTTTCGTCAGGTCGGACCTGTCATTCCGGCACTTTTGGCGAACCGGCCAAAAACATTTTCGTAAAGGTCTGACGCGGGTTTTTGTTTTAGCGGTACGCAAAAAACGAAAATTTTCAGCCAAGGTCGGACCTGTCGTTCCGCCCGCACGGCAAACCCGGCCAAAAGCATTTCATGAGTCCGGGCATGAATTTTGTTATTTTTAGCGACCCCGCAGCTAATTTATGGGTCGGACCTGTCGTTACTCAGCACTTACGGCGAACCGGCCAAAAAAGCATTTAAATAAGGAATCGGACATGAATTTTTGTCATTTTTGTAGCTTTGAAATCGAAATTTTCGCCGTTCGGACTCATCAGATCCGGCACTTTGGCGAACCGGCCAAAAAAGCATTTTTCGTAAGGTCCGGACATGAATTTTTCACCATTTTTGTCGACCCGCCAAAAATGAAATTTTCGTAGGTCAGGACCTGTCGTTCCGGCAATTGGGCGAACCGGCTGAAGCATTTTTCGTAAGGTCGGACATGAATTTTTGTCATTTTTAGGCGTGCGGCAAAAATTGAAATTTCGTCAGGTCGGACCACTGTCGTTCCAGCACTTTGCTTGAACCTGCCCGAAGCATTTTCGTAAGGTCGGACATGAATTTTCCATTTTGTAAAGGTCCGGACCTGTCGTTCCGGCACCCAATGAACCGGCCAAAAAGCATTTTCAATAAGGTTGGACATGAGATTTTTGTCATTTTTGGCAAACACGCAAAAACAGGAATTTTCGTAAGGTCCGGACCATCGTTTCGGCAGCAACTGTTACTTTATTTTATGGAATCCGGACAAGAATTTTTGTCATTTTTGGCGAATCCACAAAAAATGAAATTTTCATAAGGTCCGGACCTCTCGTTCCGACACTTTTGGCGAACCGGCCAAAAAAGCAATTTTTGTAAGGTCCGGACAAGAATTTTTGTCATTTTTGGCGAACCAGCAAAAAATGAAATTTTCATAAGGTCCGGACCTGTCGTTCCGGCACTTTTGGCGAACCGACCAAACAAGAATTTTTCGTAAGGTCCGGACATGAATTTTTGTCATTTTTGGTAAACCCGCAAAAAATGAAATTTTCGTAAGGTCCGGACCTGTTGTTCCGGCACTTTTGGCGAAACGGCCAAAAGAGCATTTTTCGTAAGGTCCGGACATGAATATTTGTCATTTTTGGCAAACCCGCAAAAAATGAAATTTTCGTAAGGTCCGGACCTGTCGTTCCGGCACTTTTGGCGAAACGGCCAAAAAAGCATTTTTCGTAAGGTCCGGACATGAATATTTGTCATTTTTGGCAAACCCGCACAAAATGAAATTTTCGTAAGGTCCGGACGTGTCGTTCCGGCACTTTTGGCGAACCGGCCAAAGATGCTGTAAGGTCCGACATGAATACGGCTTTTGGCAAACCTGCAAAACGAAATTTTCGTAAGGTCCGGACCTGTCGTTCCGCCACTTTTGGCAAATCGGCCAAAAAAGCATTTTTCGTAAGGTCCGGACATGAATTTTTGTCATTTTTGGCGACCCCGCAAAAAATGAAATTTTCGTCAGGTCCGGACCTGTCGTTCCGGCACTTTTGGCAAACCGGCCAAAAAAGCATTTTTCGTAAGGTCCGGACATGAATTTTTGTCATTTTTGGCAAACACGCAAAAATGAAATTTTCGTAAGGTCCGGACTGGTCGTTCCGGCACTTTTGGCGAACCGGCCAAAAAAGCATTTTTCGTAAGGTCCGGACATGAATTTTTGTCATTTTTGGCAAACACGCAAAAAATGAAATTTTCGTCAGGTCCGGACCTGTCGTTCCAGCACTTTTGGCGAACCTGCCAAAAAAGCATTTTTCGTAAGGTCCGGACATGAATTTTTGTCATTTTTGTCGACCCAGCAAAAAATGAAATTTTCGTAAGATCCGGACCTGTCGTTCCGGCACTTTTGGCGAACCGGCCAAAAAAGCATTTTTCGTAAGGTCCGGACATGAATTTTTATCATTTTTGGCAAACACGCAAAAATGAAAATTTTCATAAGGCCGGACCTGGCGTTCCCAACACTTTACCGAAACCGGCCAAAAAGCATTTTCGTAAGGTCGGGACATGAATTGTCATTTTTATCGACCCGCAAAAATGAAATTTTCGTAAGGTCCGGCCTGTCGTTTCCGGCACTTTACGGCGAACAGGCCAAAAACGTTACCGTGGAGTCCGGACAGATTTTGTCATTTTTATGCAAACCCGCAAAGAAATAAATTTTCGTAGGTCGGACCTGTCGTTCCGGCACTTTTGGCGAACCGGCCAAAAAAGAATTTTTCGTAAGGTCCGGACATGAATTTTTGTCATATTTGGCAAACCCGCAAAACATGAAATTTTCGTAAGGTCCGGACCTGTCGTTCCGGCACTTTTGGCGAACCGGCCAAAAAGGCATTTTTCGTAGGGTCCGGACATGAATTTTTGTCATTTGTAGCAACCTGCAAAAAATGAAATTTTCGTAAGGTCCGGACCTGTCGTTCCGGCACTTTTGGCAAACCGGCCAAATAGGTATTTTTCGTAAGGTCCGGATATGAATTTTTGTCATTTTTGGCAAACCTGCAAAAAATGAAATTTTCGTAAGGTCCGGACCTGTTGTTCCGGCACTTTTGGCGAACCGGTCAAAAAAGCATTTTTCGTAGGGTCCGGACATGAATTTTTGTCATTTGTGGCAAACCTGCAAAAAATGAAATTTTCGTAAGATCCGGACCTGTCGTTCCGGCACTTTTGGCGAACCGGCCGAAAAGGTATTTTTCGTAAGGTCCGGACATGAATTTTTGTCATTTGTGGCAAACCTGGAAAAAATGAAATTTTCGTAAGGTCCGGCCCTGTCGTTCCGGC